TCTTTCTTCCTTCCTTCCTTTCTTTCTTCCTTCCTTTCTTTCTTTCTTTCAGTTTTTTTCAATAAGACTGAATATTTGAATAAGTAAAAGTAAGAGAGATACCAAGGTTAAATTGCATGTAGCTGTCGCATCCAAAAAAGTCATTCCATATCAGTCATATGAACTCTACTGCAAGATTTACCAAAAGATAAAGACAATTTTGAGTTTGTTTATGTAACAATAACAAGCAATTGGCCAGATGTTCTTGTAAATGCTTTATCCTCTGATTAACGGCATTGATCTGTTTCGTTAACCATTCTTAAAACCTAAATATAACATATGAGAATAACTAAAGAATAGAACAACTTGTTCTAACACGATTGAATTGTTCGTTTTTTAAAACAGAAGTAATGGCAAAGACGAGGAATCTTGACATGAGAGTTGTTTACACATTTTAAAGTTATTTTGGAAAAAAAATTAAACAAATTAGCATAGAATTGATTGGATTTCTGAGAATATTCATGAATATTGTGGAATTGACTACTTTATTATGATCTTACAAGAAAAAAATGAAATAATAGTCCAATAAATACAGATAGCCATAGATAGATTTATTGATTCACCTTAAATAATCTATCTGGCCTGTTTTTCATAACATAAAAACAGGTAGTCTAACAAAGATAAAGAGAGATAAGCAAGCAACGGCTTCGTTGCTCTACCCCGAGACTAAAACAAATTCAGCATCTTCTGCTCTCATTCTAGACCAATCTTGAGTGGTAAAAACAAGTCTTTTTCTAAATAGTTACAAGTTATATATTCGATTCGTTATTAGGAGGGGTTGACAAGCGTTAATGCAGGTCTACCCCGAGACTATCAAAAATTCAGCATCCGCTGCGCTCATTCGAGACCAAGCGCAAGGTACATTGGACCTAGTGCTAGTCCACGTCACCTCGAGAACTACGCCTTCGTGATCACGTGTGTTCTGATGCTCTGTAAGTTTCGCTTTTTAGAATCCTAATGATTCATTAGTACTTTAGACGTCCTCTATTCATTATGGGATGCTACCTCCGATTTATGAGGAATTCCCTCTGTTTGTTGACTAAATCTTGGTTCCGGTCAACTTTCGCACATGCGTACGATAGACAAAATATCCTAAAATTTGGCATCACAGATACTGCATATAACACATACAACGAGGACTAGTTTTATTCTGCAACAAGTGCTTGTAAATAAACTGAATAAGTCCGCATTATTATAGAAACCTCTCTTAAAGGACTTTTTTATGAAATTATAGGTAATCTGTTTTGAAGGTGATACTAAAAGATATCCTATTCAATTAGCTCTGTCTTTTTTACTTCTAGTCAGTATATAGCCATGCAGGTTATGATGTGTGTTCTGATAAAAAAAGAACCGACTTACAGCTATTTCGTGGCGCTAAAAATTCTTTTTTTTTCAATATATATTGACGATGATTTTTCCCCACATCTGTATTGATAATAAGGTGGCTCGAAGCGGTTGGTCATCAGTCTTGGATTTTCTCACATCATCAGAATAAACGTAATTATGACCTTCTGCTTGCAATTGTCAATTGGGATTCATTTAAGTAAAAAGCTTTTCAAAATCTCCGAAAACGGACAACACGAATAGCATTTTTCTAGCAATATCTCGACGGAATCCTCGATGAAGTAAAGGCGAAGCAGGCCGACTCCAATGTAAGACTTAACGTATGACAAAAAATGATAATAATTTCGAGTGAAGCCATTCATAAAGAAGAGCAAAGAAAAAGCAAATAGAAAGACAAAAGATCAATAATTTATTCAATAAAAGTTGGCCTTTCTTTGTGTCTCTTGCCGAGAGGATACGGAGCTAATAATAACCAGCATTGACCAGCTGCTTAAAGTCATCTCTCCAGCACAGAATGAAATTCGCTTCAGTACTAGTTCACTAATTCTTGCTACTCCACTTATTCTGATTTTTTAAGTGAATTACTTTGTCTTATTTTCTTACCACAGTTAACACTAGATAGACAGTAGAATAAGCTGTTCAAATATGGATGTTTATATTGAATCGTTAGTATCCATAGATCTTGTGAGGTTGAAAGGGTACTTGACAAGAAGGACAATTGTCCCAGTGTGTCAGACTCTGTGGAGGACAGTCAAGATATAGTGATATCAAGAAAACTACACATGCAATCAAAGCTTACACCGTTACCAAGTTACCGAGGGGAAAGCACATACAACCGAATAAAAGGTTTTTTGATGGGAACTGAAAGTTAAACCGAGTCCAAATTAGATATCTAAATTGAGCTCATGTTAGTCACAATATTTTTTTTCATTACCGAATCCCGTTAGACACGACATTCTAATTAACGCTGTATGCTGACGAAATTGTTGATTGGCTTGCGAGTCACCATGGTGTAAATTATTTTCTAAAAAATAAAAAATATTTTTTCTTTCTTCCTTTCTTCCTTTCTTCCTTCCTTCCTTTCTTTCTTTCTCTTTTTTTTATTTTTATTTTTATTTTTTTTATTTTTTTCCTTCCTTTCTTTCTTTGCTCAACACAAGCATAACCCGATCAGTAGCTTTCCACTTGTTCATAACGTTTTCTCACCAACAAACATTCCGCGTTTGCGCATGTATCAGTTCTTTTTCTGGTGAATCTCACAGTGTTTCAGCTCCTACATGGACCAACGTTACGATACGAGCTTAATGAACAAAGAATCACTCACTAAATCGCTGGTCGGGGTCGAAATTTCCGGCGTAGCCGTAAATGCTTCGCGCTGCCATACTGCGCTTCAGCACAGGGTCTGGAGGTATGGTCCTAGTTTAATCAAGTTAAAACAACATTTTCTTTTCAATACATCTAATGATTCTGATTCCCATCGAATAACTGAAGCTATTTCAGTAATAACTTATCTATATCAATTCCATAAGCAGCATTTTTATATCAAAGTGTTGATAGTTAAAGTACAAACASTAGTCTTATTCATGTGTCATAAGGCTTGCTTCGAATAATTAAACACAATAGTCCCCATCATGTGCCCACACCCATAATATAGCTTGGGCTGCCTGTGGTTAGATGTCAGAAAAATTAAATCCCTTTGCTCTCGGGAATTGAATTATTTCTCATGTAAAACGATTGTATTGTTCCTGACATTTAATTTGGTTGCCGTGCTGTGATGGTGCAAAGCCTCTATACAACATGGCTTACGACCTATCAGTGTGTCTGGGATCCCTGTGTACACTCTGTTCAAGAGCCTGGGCATTACTCCGCCTGCTTGGCAACACTAGTGCTTCACAGATGGAGGGCTTTAGTTTTTCTGTGACAACAAGCTTCCCTAGCCCCACTAGGTGGGCGGATTTCTGGTCAGGCCGGGTAAATTTCTTCTAGATAGATTATTGCTACGGTTCAATCTACCAATTCAACACCACCATAAAGTAGATGTCGTATGGCTGTGAAACGATAAGGCACACTTCACGGTCACGGTACAGAACTGATAACATCCTTTCAACTAATCATAGCGCGTGAAGTCATTGCTCGACCAATCAGAATGTCCCAACACGATTGCGTAGCTGTTACGGCACGGTACTAGGAGATATTACAGCCATTGGATTTTTAATCCAAGGAGTCAGTTCTCGAACGTTTTAGTTTAGAGTTGCCTGTAAACACCTGGCTTTCATAGACGCCATCTTTGTTGAAAATAACAAAAAAATTTCATTAATATTCTTTAGTATATCAACCAATATGGCCGCAAATCTTTTGGCCGCAGAAGATTGAGAACTGTAGACTCAAAACAAGGGCCAATTGTCAAGGTCATTGACTTGAAGAATGAATTGTGCAAGAGACGATGATTTCTTACTTCAAAGAAGAACACAGAGCGATAAAACTTACAACACTTTTACGCCAGTTTTCCTAATTCAGCCAAGATAACTGACCTCATCATATTTGCAGTTTGAAGCGTACCGGTACGACTCATTGACGTTATTGTACTGAATGCAAATTACTCTTTCAATTATTCAGTCATTCATTTACAATAGTATCAAACTGGCCCGAGATTCTAGCATCTTTTGACAGGCGCGCGTCGTGCTTAATAATTGATCAAGACCACTAAAGATCCAACGACAATAGCTTGGTTTACAGCAATAATTATTCAAAAATTGGTTTTCCTTAAATGCGCAAAAAAAATCAAGATGGAAGATGTCTCTATCAGACCTGATCAATTAGAAATCTCATAACTTTCTAACCATCAACTGACCTAACAGTTTGCGCGTGTCACATGAAGGTTGATAAAGATGTTTGTATTGCTTGTTAATCTATAGGAATGCGCCTATTGTTACTTTAGTATAAAGAATTCTACGTGGCTTGATAAGAGAATGCCTTAATCAAGCCCTTGATTGGATGACGTTCCGATACTATAGGCATAAAAAACATTCCTATTATTCTTTCTCAGTTTGTGACTGTAATTATTGGTATAAGTAAAGACGCGCAGATCGGTCAACTTCATACTAACAATGTGCAGGAATACCGTGATCAAGAAGGCGGTGTTCCCAGTTCTAGCTACCCTATCACTGCACTATGATTGGGTAGAGGACTGTGTGTATCCGTTAATCGGGTGCGCGAGCACACAATTTTTTGTAAGGTGGACCTGCGTTCGCGCTTGTCCGCCGTCTTAAAATCAAAAAAAAAAAAAAAAACTAAAAGAAATATCATAAAACTATTCAAATATTTCATACTCGTTGGAAGTACTCACGTTGATACAACATATTTACTACATTCAGAGCAATAGACAAAGTTCAACTAGTGAACTTTACAAATGGATCGAGATCATCAATGACGAGCTAAGAACAAAGAATCGCGCCAATAGTTACCAGCATCGTAAGACAAGATTATAGGAATCTCTTCTATCCATTTTTTTACTTTCATTACAATGTGTTGAATAATTAGAACATGACGAGTTATCGGCTAGCTTCCACACTTCACAATTCTTAAGTTGCGGTGTCGATATGAAAAGAAACTAGTTCGAAAAAACTGGACTTAAATTTTGTCAGAACACTAAATTTTGGTCCCAAAGTAACTGAAGGCATAGCACGTTAATATACAACACTATTCATGTTTATGTCAGCAGTGTAACTGCACAGGTGTGTTAGAAAGCTTCAAAGATTTGATTCAGTATGGTAGCTTAGGTTAATGAACAGATTTTCTGTCTTACTAATCGATGTTAGCATATACCGATCTATCAAGCAGATAGACTTTTTTTGCTACCGACTTAAACAAAGTTTGCTTTTCCAACGATAACATCTTGCCGACACTATCTCATAAATTAATCATTAAATTCTGGCTGTAAAAATACTTTCTTGTCATTCTCTTCTCAATAACTAAGTGAACCTACTTTTTAAGATTGGTACTAAAGTTTTTGGTTTGATTTGGACCAAATTCTAGAGGTTTCCTAGCTCGCAAATCAAAATCTAAGTTAGAAACCTCTGATAAAGGATTGACAAAACTGCCGACCGAAAGGGGAAACGTTTGCTGTTTCTCAAGCTGTTTAACCTTGATGTTATATTCGGCCTGCAACACAGATATACATCATGATAACTGAGATTTAAGCCTACAAATATAAACCTACAACTTTTAGATTGAATGTTGGTCGGTCTTTGACATGTTTAGGCAGGTTAAATAATCGTGTAAGGCAAACAGCTTCGCCATCAAACAACAAATATCCCAAACTTTGAATAAGTTATCTTCGAAGAAAACAAAAATCTTTATGGTATTTATATTTTAAGAATAGATTTAATATTTTGTACTAACAATCAGATGGTGCGTAGGAAGAGTCCAAATAACGTATTCACTGAAATTAAGGTGCAATACTAAGATGATGTGCAAGTCACAGTGAGTAGATCCTGAACAGTCTGTGAATGATCATCCTAATGATTTACAAACCAAAATCAACAGAGTTATCTAATACGTAATCTCGGAACAAGAACGAAAGCTCTAGAGGACATACAGAACTTTCTTTCGCGGTGTGCTTGAAGTTTTTCAGAATTTACTGAAAGAGCTACTTCTATTTTCGCACAGAAAAAAAATCAATCGCTGAATTATGTATGTCATATGTATTGGTCTAAAATAACAACTTGTAGAGACTTGGCCATCGGTTCTTGGTGACTTGTCCTCAACGAATGTATAGCTCTATCTAACAACCGCTTATAGCGTTCTTCCCTCGGTATAATCATTTGTGTTTGCATTCAGAAAACAGGTGTTTCTACAGAGTGTTGATTCTAGCAGCCGGGGTCTTCGCTTTAATCTAAATGAAATCTTTTGTTATCAAGACAGGTGAACTTGTTGAAATTATTCAATATCCAAGGACGCGTTAGTCAGGGGCAAACTATGAATATATTTAATTCAGTGATAGGTTTAGAGTAGCCAATTCAGAAAAACTTGTGTTAATTGTGAATTATTAAGGTTGAAAGGACGCCGCCCAAGGGTCATTTAAAGAAATAGTATAAAGAGAGTCTTTTAGGAGCCAAAACCAGGGCGGTTTTGCAGCCAAACAGCCTCTTTTTGATTAAAATATTGAATACTTTTTCCCAAGCTTAAAATATGATTCACAGTACTATTTGTATGAACTGAAATACCGAATCATTTTGCAAAATTATATTGACATTAGATTTCTGATACCTCATAGTCTATTCACCAAACAGTATTTTGTATTTATAGAGCTGTCTTGTTCTATTGATATACTTGTGATTTTCTATTGCTACGTATATTCAGTGTGTGTCAAATACGTCTTATTTCTTCCAATAAGTGCGACAATTTTTTAAATAAAACTAGGATAAAAGTAGTGTCAAAGATTCTCGAAAAAACACTATTCAAGTTTCTAACTCCATTCCTTTTGGATTTTAGTTGGAACATTACTTCTAAAAAATCAAAACTGACAAAATATTGAAAGTTACTTCGCTTTTACAAGTAAGGCACGAGATAGCATAAATTGTATGCGTCCCCGAATAGAATAAAAAAAACTCCATCATGTATTGCGATCCGCATTTCTCTACCTCCTTGACAACCGTTGTCAAGCGAGAAACGTGTTACGATAAGAAACGTCTTAAACTTATTTTCAGCTAAAATTTGAAACTTTTGCTTGTATGCTTGTTTGTTCATTTGTTCTTCTGTCTGTCTGTCTGTCTGTCCGTCTCTGTGTTTTTTCCAATAATGGGAAAATTTTATATACATATTTTTTTGCAAAATTTTAACATTGAACTGCTAGTTATGGATATTGAAATATGGATTAATGAATAAAATATGCAATTTCGCAGTAAAAAATATTCCTTGATCCGACGATCCACTTTACCGAAGTCCAGTCCATTCCGGCCATGCTCGGTTCCAAATTTTCCAAAATAAAAAACCTCTCAAAATTCAGAATCTAGAAGCATAATTCAAATTTTAGGGAAAGGGCATGTATTTAGTTCACATTAAGGTTATCTATACTTTTTCAAAAGCTGAAAATTCGAATTTTTCGGGGGTAGGGGAGGGAGGTCATAATCAAGTCAATCAGCGTCCAGTTTCATAACTCACTCCATACGATTCCATATTTTCTAAAATACATGAGTCTTTAGAAACAATTTTTTTAGAGTTTCAACATCTTTTAACTGTATGAACAAGCTTATTATACTTCCTTAAAACACGATATTCCGTCGTGGACCGAAGAGAACACTCAATGGCCTTGATGGTCGTTGACTCGAAAGTTCTAACTACGGTACTTCAACAACAACACACACTTACTCTTGTTCCATCTTGGTATTTATGTATTATTTTTTTAAATTATGATTTTATAATCTGTAATTCTTGTCTAAGTTCTCATAAATTAATAAATATGTGTGAATAACTAAAAGTGCAAAGTACTGACGCATGGAAGTCTCAAAAGTACTAAAGTGTTTGGCTGTTGGTGGATGATCAGACAAGAAGAGAGGCAATCATATCTGGACTAACTTACTGTTTATATCTAATTTTTATGACTATAAGTTTGGCATCATATTATTTATCTGCATTATATTATTAATCTACATGCTTATCCAATCTTGAAAGAATTTTTAAATCCCAAAAATTTCTCTGTTGCCAAAGTTTTTTCAAATTGGATGACTGCAGCATTTCCTTATACCAATATGACGGACTTTAAAACGACGCTTTTGGTGTGACATTCATTAACATCATTACAGTTTTTTTCTTCTTTACACTTGAAGCCTTCAATTTTTTATCGATACCCTGAAGCAACCTGATAAAAGACAAATATAAAAGTCAAGGTACGGCTAATTCACAGATGGAATTGCTATTTAGCTGGTTGGGTTTTGAGGAAAAGGAAAACCGTAGAAGCTGGAGAAAGAAACTCTAGAATCAAAGGAGAGGATTAACAAACTCTATTCACATGTGAAGGCGAGTCATGGGAAAAGTGAATCTGAGAGCACAGAGGTGAGAGGAGAGAGGAGAGTGCACTACCACTACGCCTTACTTGAGATAAAAGCAAAGTAATCTAAAGCTGAGAAAAACATTAAAACAAGCAAATACATTTTTGTATTAATGGCGTCAGTGTGTAAATGAAACACCAATGTATTAATAATCCTGTCAATGTGTTTACGCTGTTTGAACCTTAAAACGATCATAGCTGTAAAACATGTAGGTGAGGATTCTCTGGTGCGAGGAAATATTTAGGAACGACTTTAATGGAATTTGACGCCCTTTATCTTTTCGGAACTGAGTACGAATCTAAGTGCTAAAATCTTACGAGAAATGATATAAAAGTGTTTTCCATCTTCCTCATCATCCATACATCTCTCGAGAATCGACTTTAGTACACAACTGAGTATTTCTCAAAAGAGGAAAAACCAAGGCAAAGCCAAGTCATCATGGCAAATACTTCAAAATGGCTTGCTTGCTTTCTAATTGTATCTTTGGTCTCTTACAATTGTGCTTTCAAAGAGCTTATGCCTCGGTCTTTGGAGAGGAGTCGAAAGGATGATGTTGAAGGGTCAGAAGCTTTGTTGAAGCGAGGCTGTATTGGTTGGGCCAGACATAAAAGAAAATGCTCGCGCGGAAGAAAGAGAGATGATAAAACACCTTTTAACGATCAGGTAATCAGAGATTCGTTGAATATTTTGGTGCTAAATTACACGATAATAAAACCTACTGGTTAACCTTAATGAATGAAGCTAATTTCTTTTTGACTATTGAGAATAAATGTACGAGTTCATCTTGCTCTAAATAGCAATGAAAATTGGAGTTTACACCATACTTTGTCATGGAGATATTTTCTCTCTTTACTAGATAGGGTTTTAATATAATTTCTTGTTCTCTAGAGAGACGTTTATGAAGACAAAATGGAAAGACCTGAAGAAGTGCTCAGCCTGGACAAGTGAGGATGGAATGAAGTTCTCATCATGAAACTAAGGTTGTTCTAACGCATGGCGAAATTCTACTCTTTACTGACCGATTGACTCATCACCAGCTTTCGTATTGAATACCTTAATTGAACCTTACAAACAAGTCGCTCATGTTTAAAACTAATGTCAGTTTGAATAAGATTTAGTGTATGTATTCATGATGCTTAGCTTGGTTAAATGACAGCGTTAATCTCTTAGTATTAGCCATTAGTCAATTAACACTTGTATTTTACTACTAATATGGAAAAAAATTAAACATTACTTAATAAATGAAAAAAAAACGGCTTGTTGGATGATGTCCAATGCTAACGTTATACCAATAACTATACATTGACAGGTATGATTATGATGCAGCAAACGCGGTAAGGTCATACACCGTTCTCATAAGTGCACGAAAACGATGTCAACCAGTCATTAGTTTACAACAGAAGATATAAAAGCACATAAAATGCGTTTATAGAAGGAAAGTAAAGAAAAGTATAGAAATTGACTTTTTGTTTTGACCTGGATTCGCGCTATCCACCTTTATTTTGTATGAGCAGCCTTGCTCTGGGTGGCCTCGTTTTGGTGCGCTTGTCAGCCTTTATGAGAACGGTGTATTTTTTTTTAGCAATTTATTCCTAATAGTTTTCCAAAAAGTAAAAGCCTGAACTTAAATCTAAATATCTAAGATATCTTTCACTTTTGAATTTTTTTTGATTTTTTTTTTTTTTTTTTTTTACACTTACCGGATCGTTATTGCTCGTACGTTTTAACAACGCCTCTGCACTGGATTTGAAATGTCGCTGGAAACATTTTTGAAGCTTTCTTTTTAAATAAACCTAGTAATGAAAAGAGCATTCCTAATAAGAAACATGAAAGCTTTACTAATGAAATATAACTTTCATTTGATTAAATTTTCTATGAATCATCATTACATCCTGATCTAAATAAGAATGAGGTTATATTGAAGGTTACACAGGACGCCTGTCAAGTTGGTATCAGTATTATGCTCACTCCTATAACCTTCCAATCATACTAATTAAAACCATGCCATGACATATAATCATGACGGTATTGTTATAATTACAAAACTCAACCAATTTACTATTTAACTTTCCGGCAGATGAAGCATTAAAGGGTGATAGAATGTGATTGGCATCGCACAATGAAAGCACCAGTTAGAATATAAAAACACTGAAGGTAGAACAACTCTTCATACATCGCAACAACACAGAAAATAAGCACTCAACTAAAACACAAAATGTTCAGTAGGAAACTCTTGGTCTTGTTTCTGTTTTCATTGATTGCTATCAATCTTGCTGTAAGTTTTCGGCCGATCGTGGAAGATATAAATGAAAAGATAACAGAAAAGGAAAATGATCGTAGATCGCCAGCCTGTGTGATGGGCGTACGGTACCGAACTCGAATGTGTAAGAATGGCAAAAGAAACAAACTTTTGAGAAAATTGGTAAGATAGAAAAATAGTTTTATGTGATCCAAAGAAACCCACTCACACGACATTCATTCCAAATCTGAATTGTTTTGATCTTTCTACTCCCAATTTGTGAGATTATTTGTTGTTAACTCGACCTTTTACAATTTGCAATGGTACCTTGGGTCCAGTGTTACTATTTCTCGGGCATTTTGTTCAGTAATTGTTGTTCTTCCCTCGACTTTTTTCAACTGTTAGTCGGCTATTTTTGTGCCAGAAAAGAAAAAACATTCGTAGTTCAAGAACTAAACACTGCAGGGGTTTTCAGGGATGAAAAACACCATTTGTTATAAAGACTTTTTAAAATGGAGGAGATCTTTTTCCATTTAAACAGCCATCACTAAAAAGGCATTGAGCAATCTTTAATCAGAAAAAATTTAGAACCGAAAGTCATGATCTGGTATAAATAGTCTCACAACTTAAAGGTACAAAGAAAATTTAGTTTGAAACCAAAAGGTCGTGAATATATTTTTCAGAGGTGTAATCAAAATATTGTTTCATCAAAATATTCTTTCAAATGTATAAGTAATTAGCCATGAATATTTCAGATCTCTCAAATATGCACATGTTTTCTTCCCTAGATAATGAAGTAAGAAAAGATTGGAACTGCTGATATATCATGGAACTTTATGCTGGACTGAGTCACCGAAAAGTCATCCCATATTTAAAACAAAGGCTTAAATTTTTCCCAAATATTTTTTCTGACAAGAGATATTTCAAGAAAGTAACTTGATAAAGTTTAGCGGAATAAACAATATATTATAAATGCAAACGTTGAAGAACGAATAGAATAAGTCAACATTAAAGTAAATATAAAGTACCTATTATTAACTATGTATTTTTAGAAAAGTTGAAGGAAATAAATCATAGAGTAAAGTAGATATACAGTACAGTAATAAAAATATATTCAGCATTATTCAGTTAATATAGTCATGTCAATATCACGAAAATAAAGGAAAGAAAGACAAGGAGAATATCATACACCATTCGTTGATATTTCATTGTCGGCACAAAAACAATGTGGCTAAAGCATCCAAATACTGTTATGCATCATCAGCACCACCACCACCATCATTACCATCACAACTATCATCTTCATCATGCATCATCACCACCATCATGATCACCTTCAGCATCATCATGTATCATCCCCATCATCATCATGCATCATCATCACCTTCAGCACCATCATGTATTATCTCCGGCATCATTATCATCATCATCATCATGCATCATCATCACCTTCAGCATCATCATGTATCATCACCTGATCCAGGAAGCGTATGATACTGAGAAGACTAACGATAGATTATAACAACTAACAACAACTATTATCGCAACTAACCCAAGGACTGACCTATAACACCAAAGGGGCTCCATAATGTTGAATAAAACACATCTGTACTCGATCAACAATGTCTTCACACGCTGACTGCCAGTCACTGTTTTCGGTCTTCTTGATGCACCTAAAAAAACATGAAAAATTATCATTATTGCCCTGACTTAGATCAGCCCAGAGGTTGTTTCAGGGTTCAATCTGTGAGTTAGCCATGCCCTGACGTAGATCAGCCCAGAGGTTGTTTCAGGGTTCGATCTGTGAGTTAGCCATGCCCTGACGTAGATCAGCCCAGAGGTTGTTTCAGGGTTCTATCTGTGAGTTAACCATGCCCTGACTTAGATCAGCCCAGAGGAAGTTTCAGGGTTCGTTCTGTGAGTTAGCCGTGCCATGACTTATATAGACATGCCTTGGCTTTGTCACCGCCCAGAAGTCGTTTCAGGTTTTGATAAAAATTGGCTGTTTCATCTGCAACGACTAGATAGGTTTCTATCAATATACGTCATTTCTGGTCTCGTGTGGATTTTTTAGCAGCCGAATGGCATCTTTTTTAGCCATGTACATAAAGTGTTGAGCATAGTAAGATATTTTATTACCCAAAGAAGAACGTTTCTAAAATTTCTTCGCCCAAAACATGACTGCGTGAAACCCTCTACACCATAGCCTGTTTTACCGTTGTTACCTGATTAAGAACTTGATAAGGAGATGCAGTAGTTCCATGTTCTTTTTCATAATCAGGTCTAACAAGTAACTGCTCACGACTTCAACATCTTCTTTAATAGGAGCTGCAGCAAGAAGAAAGGTTGATAATCAACTTCATAAACCAAGTTATCTGTGAGCTGCGTCAAAGACAATAATATATCCAAGATAAAGGTTTGCAACATATCAAACTTTTATTTTAATAAAAAAATGAGAAAAGGCCACCTAAACTTTCGGTCGCCTGTTGTGGATACTAGCACAAACACAAGAGGAATTTCAAGTGTCCCAGCAACTCCTCGTTACCCACCCCACTCCACCCCCTCCTCCCTTCTTCTCCCCTCGACCCCGTCCTCCCTCCTTCTTCCCCTCCACCCCTCCTCCCTTCTTCTCCCCCTCCACCCCCTCCTCCCTTCTTCTCCCCACTCCATCCCCCTCCTCTCCCCTACCCCGTCCGAAGTAAGACGTCAAGGCTTCCATTGAACAAGATTAGCCAGTTCATCCAGCCATGTATGTCCTCACCCTCTGTGCTTGCCCATTCCTTGATGACACTTTTGACTCCTGACAAGGTTACTTCTCCACCAAGACGAGGAGGGCTTGATTCACTTGTCTGTGGAGATTTCTGTAGCGATCGGTTATCTTCCTTTTAACAAATAAATTATGAATTTAAATATATTTTCCTTGTTTTATGAAGGTGACACTTAAGACCCAGGGGTTAACAAACTTGTGGTGCTCATTCCATGATGAAATTACAATTTAAAAGTTGGGTGTTTTTTTGAAGGAAGGAAAAGTGGAGAACATGAAAAAGATCCTCGAAGCACTTATCGTGTCTAAAAAACTGCTCTGGGCCAAGATATATAAAATAGAAAAACTATGCATGGAAAAAGTAGTGAGAATAGAAAATTAAACTTACTGTAACGACTGGCTCTTTAGCTGTCTTCTCTTTATCTTTACTATAATGCTTTTCGATTTTCAACCTCATATCTTTAGGTAATGCATTAAGTGCGCTAACATCTAGCTGAGAAAAGGAAGGCAGACAAAGATCCTCGTCAAAAGTCTGGACACTTTCAACCTCTCTTTTGGCCGAGGACGTGGATCGAGGTTGAGGAGTAAACCTTGGTAATGGGGGAAATATCTGGGAATCCATTTCAAGTGCTTCATAGTTAATTATTGATTCCCTTCTCGTTGGCGATGAACAATCGCCATGACGTTCCTTTACATAACAAAACGAGTTCGGGGGAGATTCTGAAGAACTGTTCAAAATGCCACTTAGTAAGCCACTATCTTCGTCGTGTTTCAAGCTCGTAACAATTTTATTTTCATTCTCCTTTTCCCTCGACTGACATTCAAAACGATTATTGTCCGTTGAAGTGATTGTCTGCGCATAGTCATGTAAGGTACGAGCAGCACCACCAGAATGTGTCAATTTGCTCACTTGGATACCCAATCCCCTGACATCTGACGATGAAACTCTAAGTTGACGGAAAAGAGACTGGCACTTCTTGAATATCAACCTTGAGTCATCAGTAGGGACTTGTAGACCTGCAGACCGTGCAATATTGTCACATATACCATGACCCATGAACTTGAGTGGTTCTTGGGCTCCCTGACGTCGAACCTTGAGCTAAGATACAAGAATCATCATTAGCGTATCGCATTTTGAGGATCCAAAATGTGCAGAAGTGATTATCTTTGGCTGGATGATCATAATAGTGCAGCTTTTCTGAGTTAATGAGCGTATTGCATTCGGTAGCAAAAGATGGTACAATTCAAGTTTACCTCCCTTCGTAAAAATCAAGATGTGAGTTGAGTGTTGTATTTATAGTATGTTGTAAATATAATATGTAGTGTGGTAGTGCATTAGGAGCGAAAAGGGGCTTTTTTCCAAAACCCTGAAAATGCAAATTCAATGAAACGCTTTTTCTCAGGGTTCTATAGTTTAATAACTATATTTTTTAGAGTCAGATTTTCCATTCTTTGCGAATGTACTCCCATTCACTTTTCACTTTCAGTTTTCCTTTTGCCCCTCATGCAATGGGAAACATGATCATTGACAGCCCTCGACAGGGGAGAGGATGGGAGCCGCATGGGGGTGAGGGGAGGGGGGCAAAATGCAACCCAAATGGAACAACATCGAGTGATCAAATATACAATATTACCTTTAGGGTGATGGAGCGACCCTTCACACCACACTCTTTCAACCTTTTCTGTACTTCTCGAGATAGTTCATCAATAAAATGCTCCGCTTCTGATTCCTACCCATCAGAATGAATAATACATTAATCAATCAATCTTGTTTCTAGAGGATAACACTTGACAGTAATTCAACTGATAAACTCGTGGTCCCCTGTTAACGTCTCTACTTAATTAGGGACGGGACCGCCATTAACGTGATCATCCGAGCCACGTGAAGGTCTAACCATTTGCAGACGTTATTACAAAGGCAGCACCTTCTCCTCAGTTATTTTAAGACCCTGAGTGTTGGTCCGGCCGAGATTTGAACCACAAATAATTCATGATTAACACAAAATCTAAACAAGTAGAAAAAATTGATTCTTCAAGTAACACATCAGTGAAGGAGAACATACTTTTGTAAACCGCATTCCATAGTTTATTTCAGCGGAAACTGATTTCCTCTCTCTTTCCACCCTTATAGGCCGATCGTCTTCTCCCCGACAGAAACCATAAAGTGTAAATCCTGTTTTTTCTCCAAAAGTTTGCTGCAGGAATTGAAGGCTGCATTTTTGAAGATCTGCGCAAGAATCTATACCCAGGGACTTCAACTTGTGACCTTGTGCTCGGCCAATGCCTGGAAGATCTGTGACCTTTTGACTACCTGTGGGAGAAAGATAGAAAAGATAGCAGCTGAAACAATCTACACAGTCTACTGTTATTAAACTACTGCAGCCCTTGATATTCGTGAAGTACTTTTTGAACAAGCGTAAAACGGATCAGTACGATATCAATCAGTCAAGCCAATCACTGCTCAATATAACTGCTTATCCAATTAGAATTGATGAACACGCTTATACAAGATTTCAGCATTGCATATTGTAATCCAGGGTTCAGCACTTACCTACAAACTCTAACACATCATCTTCTGCAGATAAGTAGAATTGTCCATTAGGTTTTGCAATTCTAGTGCACATCCTTGCCAGCAACACATTGTTACCAATACCAACAGACACATTACAACCTGTCTTTCCTTTTATCTCATTGCGCATCTTCTGAGCAAGAGCAAGTGGCGTAGTTTGATCTGTGGAATACAAAATGAATGAGAAACGAAATTATTTGGGACAGTTTAATACCTGTAGGGCAAACTCACGTTACGGAGTGGAGTGCCGTTATTGTAACTTTGAAGTGTACAAGCATTCTCATTGGATGAAAAGTGGTCTCACAAGCTGCGATTGGTTCAAAGAATGTGACATTGTACAGTATCTTTTTACACTCATACTCTATAATTTTACGTACCATCCAAACTATGTGTCACATCAAGGTATGCCTCATCACAACTCACGGCTTCAATATCATGCGAATACTGAACCAGTGTTTCAAACATCTTTTTAGATACATCTCTGTAGTCTTGGAAGTTGTAAGGGATACAGATAATGTCAGGGCAGAGCCGGCGAGCAGCACCAAGGAACATACCATTGCGAACTCCAGCTTTTCTGGCTTCATAACTACAAGATGCTATTTCAGACATGGAGGTGAAAAACGAAGCTGACATTTCTTTTCCAGGAGATATTACCTCTGAAATAAAAATATAATATATAATTGATCTTATATCTGTGGATAAACAGTGTATTTTGCTCTTTATGAAGTTTTATCACAGCCGAGACAGGCAACATAAATCCCACACAGAGGTCTACAGGGAAATCCTTTCACGTGACGTTGACATCCTGTAGCACGTTTATTCTGTGCTGTCAAGACGAGGACTTTAAGAGAAATCAGTTCAAAACCTCATAGTTAAAAACGGTCTTGGTAAAAGTTCCAAAGTTTCTATTTATATCAAGGTGTGAGCGTAGCAAGGTCACAATTACAGAGGGGCAATGTACTATTTCCCAGACAAATCCATAGGAAACCCGCATGAATAATTAAGTTTTGGTGCTTAGAGCAAACTTTTGGATGGGCACGTGCCCCTCGTCCCCCCTCCCTATGCAAGTGTCAAGGTCAAAAGTATACAATCAGAGTTTAAAAAAGTTCAACAATCATATATCAGGCTTTACCTTTCCCAGTGTTAGTTTTCCCAGCATGACAAACTGCAACAGGTTTTCCCAGAAGACTTGGTTTGTTTCTTAGACCAACAGATACAAAGAAACAGTCCATATCAACATGCATAATAACCCTGCCGTAAGATGCTGGTCCAGGATTTTGATGAGGAACTATGCCCTTTCGTATTCTAGCCTTTATCAGATCACTAGTAAACTGTTTAAATTCTGCACTCCACGTTGAAAGATGATGCAGCCTAGAGTTACTATAAAACTCAGTCATAAAATTAGGCTCCCCTGCCTTAAGATGCCTAGTGTTTATTTCTTTGTCCATAACTGGTATTCCTGTATTATCCACATGTCGTTTTGCTTTTGTTGAAGCATCATCATCACCCTTATCATCATTAGCCATGGGAAGGTCCATTAGGATGGATGAATTGGCAAAATCCACAGACATATCTAATGGTGCATCAGAATCRAATTTTTGTTTATTTTCAGTGTTTGAAGGTTTTTCAGCATTTAATGTATCTACATTTATTGTAGGAATTTCAGAATCGATACAGCAGACAGTATTTTTCTTTTCCTTGGATGATGGATGCTGAACAGTTGATTGTACAGATTGATCAGCATTGGAAAAGTTCAGTCGTTTCTGCAAAGCCAGTCGACCACTGTACAACAGATATTGGTCTATCGGCAAACAACGCCCTTGTTCAATACTGTCAAGGATCCACTGGGGACGCACTATCTTCTTGTCTCTGAAATAATAAATAATAAATAATAAGAATGCCTCTCTGTTGGCTTGGAGTATGTTTTTCAGAAAAGTGGGAATTCTGACTTGCACCTTTAAATGCATGGGCCAAGTAAACACACACTTATCTTGGTGCTTAATTGCTACTCATGTATGACACTTAAATGAATCAGAATGTAAACACCACTTTCTCTCTTACACCTGAAGGGCAAAGACATGGGATTGATCTGGTGACTGCCAAACCTCTCTAATAGGTTAAATGGTTTTGCATTTCTGACCATGTGTTATTCTCTTGAAAATAAGATGCTTTCTTTAAGTCGAATCCATATTTATGTGTCTTCTCACTCATAGCCATTAAACAAAGAAAGGATACTCTAGGGAATAACATGTGGTCTGAAATGGGAAAACTACACCCAAGCTAAAGAGGTCAATGAGGGACAACATCAATAAATATACATGTACCATAGTTTTTAGGCAAAGCAAGAAGCATAAATACCTGATTTCAGTGATCTTGCTGTTGGGAAGATTAGTAGCAATGATGTGTGTAACAGACGACCGTGAAAAATACTGCTGAAACCTTCCTCCATGAAGAACAAATAGCTTTCTTAAGTCATCAGCTGGAGGAACTAACAGAACAAAATAAAATTAGCTACTAAGTAATACAGGGGCAGATCCAGGGGGTGTCCTGTAGTGCACCAGACATCCCCCTAATGCCATATTAACTCTTATGCTTTTTTGAAGCAATCATGCATAATATATCTCTGTATACATTTCTTCGTTTGGGACACCCTCCTAAAAAATTCCTGGATCCCCCCTGTAATATCATTGTGCTTGGGTTAGCTGTGCCGATACAGGATACAACAAATAGAAAGGTGATAAGTATGCATCCATACTTACTTGTATAACCATTTATGAAAATAGCTAGTCCTTGGAAGATGGCTGATGACTCTCTACTATTAATTATAAATATGAAATATTATGATGGATTAAACAAATTAGTATTTAGAATGGGAACACACCCCTCACAGCAAGTGGGAATGCACCTCAATTTTAAGGACAAAACAATGAGTGTCCAATTCTCATGAGATTCAATTTTTTGTTTGTTTTGTCTTCCAAATTGAGCTACTTTGATGTCACATGCAAGGGGTCCAATGTATGTTTTGTATGCAATAATTACACCTCTACAGAGTGGTCCTTCATCAACTGAATCCAGAAAATAAAATGCCAGTGTTTCAATGTGTACATGTAGCTAATACCTTTCTGTAGCAGCAGAATGGACGTCAGCTGTAAACTGCTCATCAAGCTTCCTAAGTTTAGCACTCATGTATTCCCCCTTAACATGGAAATAACTTTAGTTAGAGTAAGTTAAACTAGCTTATACTAATATACAGTTAGTCAATAGCATTAAAGAGAGATTCATTATAGTGGTAAGACACCCCTGCCCTAGCTAACAGGAATCACCCCCAACAACAGATACACTCACCCTTAACAAATCCCACACACCAAACAAATACAATTACTTTTCCAAACCAATTATACAGAAAATATTTGAATGCTTTGGTCAAAACTTTTATAGCTCTAAAATGAACAATAACTCTTAATAACTCTTTTGCTCCGACCAAGGACTAGCGTCCGAAACGTCAGTAAGTTTTTGCATCTTTTCACGGTGTATAATTTACCTTTTTATCATTACTGTTTCATTAGAAACACCGACGCAGCTCACACTAGTTTTTAGCTAGTTATCTCTTCTAATAACTCTTAATAATAGCCTAAATATTTATCTACAAATGAAGCTAATACATGTAGTATTTTTTGCTACGCTTAGAAAAATCGTAAAAAACACACGTAAAAACGTGCAAAAAACTTACATAATGCCCCCAGTCTTTCTTGCGTTTGTTTCTTTTATCCTGTGCCTTGATAGTTTTTTCCCCTAGGTCCATTATTATTATTAATCGTTATTAACGACCTTCTATAGTATTAATACAATATCAGTGTCTACGATACCTGGTGTCAGCGGATTTACAACAAGAGCATGCGTAGTCACCCATGTCTGTTACCATGGTAATACAATCATCTGTTTACTGCTACTTTTTTCTAGTGATTTGATCACTTGATTTCTTGCTTTAAAAATAGAAAATAATTATTTTTCCAGCATCCTGTAAACGCTCTTTTGAGATTGTGAGCTATGTCTGATTTTGAAGACGAGGAAGGCGTCGATGAACCGGTCTTGGAGGACGAAAATGAAGAAGAAGGGCAAGAGGAAGAAGTAAGAACAGTGCAGACAGGCTGATTTTGAACTTAGAAATAAACCTAATTATAGTTATCATATATTGTGCAATCCTCTATCTGCTGTGTCATTATAAGCTTTATTTTAAACGCCATAGACAGCTACGATGACAGTTTCTTTGGGATAATATAGTCTTCATTGAGTACTATGTGGTAAATATGTTTCCAATTGCAGTCGTAAATAGGCTGGGAGGTGATCTAGATTCCTCTTGGGCTCAAACTCTTGATCATTGTACGTGTAATAAGTTAGAAACTGTGTTATAATCTAGGTATTAAACCCATGAATGTTGTTTTTATTAGAAGACCCCTGAAAATCCACTGACAGAAGAAATGCTTGCAGAGAGTTTATCTCTGCTTTGTAAGACAGGCAATGGCTTGGCACATGCATATGTCAGACTCGATATTCATGACAGGTAGGTCTTCAAATCGCATGGAAAAATCCCTGTATAAAATGTCCAAAGATATATACTACCCCCCCCCCCCCCCCCCCCCCCAGCACTATCAAAAATTTCACTCTTGCTTTTATCCACCTCTCAGAGATTTCAGCAATATTGCAAAAAACCCGCATTCTCTAACATGTAATACTTAACTGAGTGTATTGCTAATAACCACCGCAGATACAGCAGTGGTGAAGCCAAATGAGGTCATACTGAATGCGATGTAAAGGCACCTCTGACAGCTGCTATACAATCCATGTATGACTCTGGAGTACAGCTCTAACCAGTTTCAATTAGGGTTGGTTTAGGAGGATGGAGGAAAAACCAGAAGTCAGAAAAATCCTGGAGTCAAAAAGGAATCAACCAACTAACTCAGCTCACATGGAGAGACTGGGATTTGAACCCCAGACTACCACACCATCCTCTCTCCCCATTTTGACAGTCCCTTATTATATATTATTATTTTACCATTTTTATATATATAGATTGCTTAATTCTTGTCTTGGTTACTTTTTTCAGAGAGCTGACAGACATTAGTGTTTTGAATTGCTTTATACATCTGAGATATGTGGTATGTAGTAGATAGTTGTTATCCAAAATCCAACATGACGTTTTTTTTAATTATAGAAAAATCTTGATTTTTTTGAAAAATTTTAGCATGAAATTACTAGATATGAACAGTAAAATGATAATCATAGGATAAAAGCTACAAATTTGGCGTGAAAAGGCGTTTAGGATCCAGACAATCCAGTAAAACGAAGTCCAGTCCATTCCAGTATGCGCGGTTCCGGATTTTCCAAAATAAAAAATTGCTCAAAATTCAAAATCTAGAAGCAAAAATCAAATTTTGGATATTGGACATGTTTTTACTATACATTGAGATTGTACATACCCTTTGAAAAGCTGAAAATTTGAGAAATTTTTTTCTTGGACAGCACTGCCTATTGCTTAACTCCAATAAAAAGATCTGTAAGCTATGGGTGCCCTTCATTATTCAAATATTGATTTATTTATTTCAGGATGTCTGTGGCAACCAGTTAAAAGACATTTCACCCATTAACTCCCTCACTCATCTACTGACTTTAAAAGCAGATCGTAACTCACTCCACTCTGCTAAACTAGATGAGGTATGATAGGAAAAACTACCTATAATAGCTTGCTTTAGTTTTTAAGTAATGTTTTTCCACTTCAAACCATCTGCCATTCCCTCAAGAATAATATTATTCGTTTGAGTTGTATCTATATTCATATGTTATATTCATGTGCAACTGTTAAGCAAAGAAACAATACTCTAGGGAATGACATGTGGTCTGAACAGAAGATCTTGGACGTAATGTTTTGCCCATTTCAGACCATGTGTCACTCTCTTGACAATAATATTCTTTGTTTGAGTTGTATCCATATTAATGTGTGTTCTCATGTGCAACCGTTAAACCAAGAAATACTTAGATAATACTCTAGGGAATGAAACATGGTCTGAAATGGGAAAACAGTGGATTAGGTTTATTGGTCTATAGTATTATGGCACATACATAAAATGTAGCATAACCAAGTCATCTGATTGTATTTCATTTTAACCTGATCATTCTAGTCCTGTTTCATGTTGTCCCATCCCATCCCATCTCATCCAATCCATTCTTTACATTTCATCTCCATTTTTCTCAGCATTCCATCATATATGCCATCCCATCCCAAGCTTTTATATTRTATTAGTAAAAATACATGATTATTGAAAATCTCACGCGTTGATTGGTCGAGAAACTCACACTATCACACGATAATCACCTCCAGCGATAACTCAAAATGGTGGCTAGCCGCTTTATTGCTGTTACCGGAAAAAATGTCTTTTATCTTTTTTTTCTTTGTTTTGAAAGAATCACCTGTGTATTTATACTAAAACAATTATTTGCCTCAGCTTCAGTGAATATTGGAGAATATTTATCTTGCCGCTCAAAGACTCACGTCTCTGTAAATATTCCCCGATATTCGCTTTGCCTTCAGCAAATAATTGTTAAATATTAAACAATTAAAAAAGGTTTATCAATATTTCATGTTCACTATATTTAACATAATAGTTATTGTGTTATTGTATTTCAGTTGCCATACCTTCAGATAGCAAGTTTTGCCACCAATAAGATCATGGATACCGAAGGAATAAGTCACCCTTTGCTGGAACATCTTAATTTATCTTGTAAGTAATCTCCCTGGATAATCTTTTTTTTATTCCAAAAATATCTATGTGCCATCCATGTGTATCCTGAATATCAGGCTCTCTCTCTCTCTCTTCTGTATCCCTACACCCCCCCCCCCCTCCTCAAGGCCTGGTACTCAGGTTAATCCATGTGCAGGTAGGACAGGGAGGGATCTAGGTGAGGGTGCAAGGGTGCACACAAGATGAGTTGATATATACCATATTATTGGTGCTTGAGTTTTTGAAGGTCCTGATCATAAATGTTGCTCCCCATTGGAATCCCACATCTGCCCCTGTAAGGTTATCTCTTCAAAAGGAATGGGGGCAGTCTAAGGAGTGAGTTAAATGAGCAGCGGTTAGGGAGGGGTCTATGCTAGTCCTCCTCTTTCTCCTTCTCCTCTTCGTCCTATATTTCAAATTTTCAGCAATTATTAACATTTTTGTTTCACATTCTTTTAGTCAACCAGATTGTGGAAGTTACTGGTTTGGATAGTGGAAAGCTGAACAAGCTATCTGTTCTTGAGTTACGAGGCAATAAGCTAATGAACACACTTGGAATGAATATTACAAATTTGAGAGATCTGTACTTGGTATGGTAAAACATGATAATGATAGTGAAACCCTGATAATAAATTTATAACATAACTATTCAATCTAGTCATTTATCTAATGTGAATATGCAGGGAGGGATTGCTCAGTCTCCCATTAGCCAGAGGCTCATGCGAGTAAAGCACTCGATACTAAATTGAATTGGATTTTAGAAATTGATTTTTTTGGGAGAGAGGAGGACTTAGAGAAAAGCCCTTGAAGTAAAGAACAGGAGAGAACAAGCTAGCAATTCTAATCTTGGTTGGTTTAGTGAGCATACTCCATCCATGCTAACATTAAAAGTTCAAATAAACCTTCTGTTTTCTGTCTACTAGGGAGCAAATACAATACGGAGCATAGAAGGGCTTGATCGACTGGAACACCTGACTAAACTCCACCTAAGAGACAATCAGATCGAAAAACTTGATGGCTTCTCAGAAAACATGAAGAATTTACAATACCTCAACCTGCGGTAAGAAACACTAGATGTCAGATGTGACAAGAACAGAATCAGTTCTCACTAGATATTAAGGGGCTTGTACTTACAACGCAAAACACATGTTGATTTTTGTGGAGGAATGAAAACTGGAGAACCTGGAGAAAAACTTCATGAAAAGGGAGAGGACAAAACTAAAAATAAAATAAACTCATAGGTTTATTTTCATGGAGGAAGGAAAACTGGAGAACCTGCAGAAAAATCCTTGTGGCAAGGAAGAAAACACATCAAACAAGTCAACTCACATAAATATGGTTCAGCCGGGAATTGAGCAAATGACCCCAGGCCTGAAATACACTGCTGTGAGAGATAGCATCTTAGCATCACGTACTACCCATGTTATCCACAATGCCTCCTGTGACTAAACATGACCCATTTCTATTTCATTTACGTGTATAGGGGAAATAGTGTAGCAGATGTCAAAGAAGTAACTAAGATAAAATGCTTACCGCTGCTTAGAGCTCTGGTTCTAATGGGTAGGTTTATTTGTGAACACTTGCCATTTCCTTGAGTATTATTTCTTTTTTTACAGGTAACATAAGTCAAAATTTATTTTGTACTAAATAGTAAAAAGATCTGAGAAAATAAGGTGGAAAGATCTTAAATAATAACTCATATTTCAAACTGTTCTTGCAGAAAATCCTGTATCAGATGAAGATGATTATCGTATAGAGGTACTGATAACCTTACGGCGGCTGGAGAGACTTGATAAGGATGAATATAGTGAAGATGAGAGACAAGAAGCTGAAGAGGTAATGCGTTAGCTTTCAACAGTAAATGAATCAGTGAATGGATCCCAAATCTGGAACCATTAACCTGCGCAATAGGAAATATCTAACTTTCATTGCACATGCACACATTCCATTCAGTTATTGGAGCATACTTTTGCATGACTGTTAAGTGACATGGTTACGGTATGGATGTAACATCCTTTTAACCAATCACAGCACGAGAGATCATTGCTCATCCAATGAAAATGCTCGGTCACAAAACGACACATCTTTATAGTCATGGTCTTACTAGTTTTGTTATTCATTTTCAAAACCTCTTCATTTTCAGATTTACGAACAAAGAAGACAAGAAGAACTAGCAGCTGTGAGTATAATACGGTATCATGTATCATGTAGCATATGGTAGCCTGTGATTCTTTCTAATCTGGTTTTCTTTCTTTCCTCTTTAGCAAGGAGCACAAGAAGTGATTCACACAGATGAAGATGACTGAAAAGAGCTGCATTGACATTGATATTGCTTTCCTATTTGTACATATTAGAGATACATTATCCTACCTTTGTAGATTGTATTAAAGTTGTTGTGTCGTGTTGGCTTTTGGACACACTTTTTGTATCTATTTTCTTGAATATTAAATTGTTACACAAGCTAACTTAACCCCCATGATATCTTTCTACATACCATGTGTATTTTGCATGGTATTAGGCACTATTATAGGTAAACATTAGTAAAGCAATGAAACCTCTTGGTTTTATTGAATCACTCAATACTGATTTTTCCTGTGTTACATGGTGCATTAGCTGATCTTGTTTAATGTTGACGCACTCATGTGTATACTTCTTGGTAGATAAACTTGTTAACCTAATGTTAAGAAAAAAGTAGTTGTAATAGTATCGAGTCAATCAAGTAAATTAGTCATTTTGAAAGAGATGTTCACGTCAACCCAGAAAGCGCGCAAAAAAGATGCTTTTTCAACCCAGAAAGCGCGCAAAAAAGAGGCTTTTTTCAACCCAGAAAGCGCGCAAAAAAGAGGCTTTTTTCAACCCAGAAAGCGCGAGAAATAAGATGCTTTATCATATTGTTTCTTGCTGCAAATCTTACTCATTCTGTTTGAATGTCAGTGTTCACACGGGAAATCCAAATATTGGGGCCCACAATAAAATGCCTCGCGCGAAGGCCTCTGCACCATCACGTGACGGCAGCATTGTTGGATCGCAAAAACAAATAATACAATCGTTTTAGAACGAATTCAATTCCCGAGAGTAAAAATATGCTACTGTTGATTGTGTCATCTAACATGATTTCCGGCAGGTGACGGGTGCAAAACCTTTATTCATAGATATTAATTCTCTCCAAATGGACAAATTCATACCATRCAGTTTCCTGATCCCATCGATATCATCTTGATGAAGTGTAGCCGTCGATTCACAGCAAGACGGCCACATTATCGAACCCTTGACCTTAGAATGCCGTAAACCAAGTGCATGACCGATTTCATGCGTTGCAACTTGAGGTAAAGGCTGCTTGAACAGCCCGTGGTTCTCATAGGCTGACCACCATTCTTTCTCGTCAAAGTGAATTCGTCCATCCGAAGGCATGTACGCATGCGCAAGAACTCCGTTCCAACCATCAAACTTTGAGCTGCACTTCTTTTCGCCAGGCACGCCAAAGTGCTCATTGTATCCAAAACTATTCACAAAAAGTTTAAATTGAAGTTTGATTATTTGTTAAAACGTTTGCATTTGGCATGATTTTCTTTTGTATTTAGCCACACACAAGACACGAAAGCCATTAAATTTGCCGTAAAGTTTTGAAGATTTGGTTGTAAAAAGGCACAGTGCGCTATATCACTAGTCATCCAATCAAGCACRATACACCAATACATGTACGAAAACTATTCTGCTAACCTTATTTTGAAGTCTGCATTCTTAGGATCCATCGTTCTCGTGAACTTCAACCTTGGTGCCACTTTCGACCATCTATTGAATGATTCAGCAAAGATCCTGGCTTGATCTTCCTCATACAAGTCCTTACCAAACTGAATATAGTACTTTAGGTCGGTTCTCCACCATTTGCCGTAAGTGGAATACCTACGTAGGCGTGTACTACCATCTACAATATCTGGTAGTCCACACCGAGGCTTCTTCATTTCTTCTTGTGTTGCCTTATCCAGGAAACCAGTGACTGGTAATCCCATAAATTCCTGGTACATTTTTAGGGCTTTGTTCACATTTTAGTTGCCAGAACGAGGCATAGAAAGGTAACCAAACTTGTGCAAAAATTTCTGTAGAAAAAAATGAGTAGAACATCTTCGCTATTACACTTCGTTATACAACAAGTACAATTGTCATAGCCTTCCCCCTGCAGGCTAACTCCTGCTGGCTTACTTTGTACACTGGCTAAGTTTATTACTCAAAAGTAAAGAAAAAACAAAAGATAGTTACCAGAGCATTTTCATCGCCCTCGTTGCTGCCTAGAGATGGCTGTAGGACAAGAAGAACCGCTAACCAAAAGAGTACCATCATCATTGCTCTTCCTCCAGAAGTTCAGCGCCACAAACACACTATCTTGCTCCAGTGTTTGTTGGCTATTTATAACAACTGTACACAGTCTTTGTTTTATCAGTGTTAGCGATATAACAAAAGAAACTGAAATCTAACATTGCTGTTGTTTAGTCATATTTCAGATGGCCTTTCTTCTGCATCGTAAAACAAACAACCTGAATACCATTTCACGTTCTGAAATTGCGAGAAAAACTGATAACGATTAGGACGCGCGCTGAATCATAAGGGCTGTCTTATGGGCACCATTTTTTCAATAAAGCGAAACGTGGGTTGAGCAAACTCTCTTGAAAAACAGAATGATAACCGAAGTAAATGTGACTAGATTCAAAAACTAAAACCTGTTAAACAAAAAAGCCCCATGATTCAGCGCGCTTTCTATTTGTTACTAGTTTTTCGCGCGACCCGCGACCTCGGAAAGACCAATATACGACTACCTTCTTACTGACGCTATTTACTGATATATATTCTTCGTTGTCTATTCCAGAACCATGAAAACAGAAGTATATACAAGTATATACCATGGTCACATACATTTATGCCGAACTGGGTAGCATCTTCCCTCTTCTACCTCTAGACTCTTAAACAAAGCATGCAAGTCGGTTTCATGTTCGCTCCGTCATGTACCTATGGTGTTATTTTACCTGCCTTTGCCGCTTATGAACGATGTTTCTTGTGTAGGTTTGACTAACGTCAGTGGAACACGAGATGATCATGATGATCCAAGGATATGATTCCAGCAGGTGATTCAACTACAAAACCTGAAACAAACAAAGCTGTGAACGCTAACATAATTCAAAAACCTTCAAAGATTAAGGTGTTTTACTGGTGTTGTTTTTTTCCGCAGCTTTTTTTTTTTTTTTAAAAAACATGAATAAATATTTTGTCACATTCCCCATAATCTCAGTGGCTTGTGTTTTAGGGGGCAACCGGTGAAAAGACTGTTAGAAAATGAAACGTTCTGTTTTTATCTGTAAAATACTTATTATCAGTTTATTTTGAGTTAATTTACGACTTCCAGAATATCAAGACGTATAGTGTTACGTGAAAGAGTGCTTAAAATTGACATTAAAGACTTCTTTGAAATTCTTTCTTTTTGTTTCTGGCTGTTTCTTATACTTCTTTGAATATCATAAGATGAATTTGTAGCATCTTCTGATCAGTCTACAGCATAATATATGTGGTCTTTTTTCTCTTTTCCCTCGTTCACCCTACCCCTCCCCCACAAAAAAGAACCGCAATGTGAAAATGGTTAGGTCGAAGACTGGTTACGACCATTTGGTGTATGGAGTCATGGGAATGAAAACTTCGTCATCTGTCGTCTCCATGGAAACCATCTTAATATTTCAAACAAAAAAATGTCGAATCCTTCCAAATGAAGCAGGTGCAACGCCCGGCAGCCACAGACTTTCTGGCGCTAATTTCTTATTATCAATAACCTGTTATTGTTGAAACATCAAGGTGCTTTATACTATTTTTCATGTCAATACCGTAAACTAAATTAGGACTAAAGTAAAGGAGAAAAAAAACAGATAAATTGATAGTGATTCATTATGAAGATATAACTAGCTAAAAACTAGTGTGAGCTGCGTCGGTGTTTCTAATGAAACAGTAATGATGAAAAGGTAAATTATACACCGTGGAAAGATGAAAAAGCTTACTGACGTTTCGGACGCTAGTCCTTCGTCGGAGTCTCTTTTACTCCGACGAAGGACTAGCGTCCGAAACGTCAGTAAGTTTTTTCATCTTTTCACGGTGTATAATTTACCTTTTTATCATTAGTGATTCATTATGTTAATTATTAATTATTTATCACCATATCGTCCTCATTTGCACTCTACTTTGAAATGGATTTTCTCGGCACATTACAATCTCACTTTTATCTCGATCAAACATTTGATACGTAAGTAACATTTGATGAAAAATTTCTAATTCTGCCTTAAAACTCTTGGACGAAAAGCAAAATAACTACACCCACTCTTTCTTAACACCTGCTGGTAGCTTAAGGTTCCAATCATAGATACCTCGACAGCTATTTACTTATTAGCTTCGCCGGGGCCACACTGAAAGAAAGTTGCGAGTTATAACCTAGGTACTGTGGCAGGGAATCCGCTACAACGTTATCCAAATACCGGGACCCAAGTAAAAGAAATTGCGTGTGTGACTTAAGAAAAATTATCACAGAAAAAACTGAAGATCCAAACGGTAAAAAGCTAGGACAAAGTATCTTGAATGCTTACACAATATGGACCGTAAGGTAAATGACTTTGAAGTCTTCGTAAGATGCTGATGTTCCAAGCAAGTAAAATAATGTTATTCGCTCAGATATACAGGTAAATAAATATATTACTATCAAAAAAAGATAAACTAAAAACCCTAATTACTGTAGATTGTTGTTAGTAATACGATGATTTCTTTCTAGTACCTTGTTTACATATTAATCGAAAATAACTAACGAGAGAGCTGGCAGCTGTTCTGCATGCAATGAGTAACAAATAAATTGAGATGACACAAAAGAAAGTAGACGATTTGTTAGACGATTTTTCTCTACAGCAACACTATATCATCTTTATACGAAGATGAGTTCATTATTTTTATTCTTTTTACATCAAAAAGCTTTCTTTTCTTGAAATGTTCTTTTCTAGGTTTGAACTGAATTCCTCAATATTTTAATAATGGTATAGCCTTTTAATCCTTATGTTGACTTTAACGCACTTAACTACAACGTTTGTAAGAGACTATACTCGAAATGCCGGTCGGAATTAACATGAAAGTCTTTCAACATCTCAGTAAGACGTATTTACACCAGTTCAGTAAAGGTTAAACTGTTAAATATTCCCAAAGCCCTGCGCATTGATATAATTAATGTGATTTAATTCCCGTTCCAGGTCACTGACACGGGATAGGATGATTCAACTGTACCTCATATCTTACCTGCTCTTCGCAAGTATTCAAGTATTGCATGCCACATGTCCAACCGCCTTCAGCCTAACATATCACGTGCTTCGTAATCACGTGATAAGATTTTCATCTGCGCACACGATGGATCAGTGCATGCAGCAATGTGCATCCCACTTGGATTGCCACAGCATTAATTTCTATGCAAGTCAGAACAAGTGTGAGCTGAATAAAGCGACGCATTTGTCAAATCCCGGTGACTTGTCCAGTGATGTCCTGGGTATATACATGGCATATAAACATCGTCCAATGAACGTGTGTAGTGATAGTCTGTGCAGTACAGACCATATATGCCTGAGTGAAAACATTGATGATTATTACTGCAAAGGTATCAACATTAGCAAATCTTTTGTTTTTTCCGAAACGCACATCATCGAGTGGAAAGAGAGACCATGGATGCTTAGTGATCATTAATTATCATCGTTACAATATGGTATTGTCCTATTTTGAGCAAGTTAAAAAGACATAGAAAAAAGTTTTATTCTTCCTCGAGTTTCTTTCTTTCTTTCTTTCTTTCGTTCGTTCGTTCGTTCGTTCGTTCGTTCGTTCGTTCGTTCGTTCGTTCGTTCGTTCGTTCGTTCGTTCGTTCCTTCCTTCCTTCCTTCCTTCCTTCCTTCCTTCCTTCGTTCTTTCTTTCTTTCAACACAAGTCTAACCTGAATAGCTTTTCACTCGTCCATAACGTTTTCTCACCGATAAACATTCGGCGTAAATACCGGTTTGCGCATGTATCAGTTCTTTTTCAGATGAATCTTCATAGTGTTTCAGCTGCCACATGGACCAACGTTAAGATACGAGCTTAATGACCAAAGAATCAATTCCTAAATTGCTGTTCATAGCAAGGGGTTAATCATCTATGGTCTAGGGGCCGACTAACCTTTCCCTTAGGCCGGCTTCGGCCGAGCTTCCTGATCAGTCACTGGATAGCGGTGTCGGGGTCGAAAAACTCCGGCGTAGCCGTAAATGCTTCGCGCTGCCATACTACGCTTCAGCACAGGGTCTGGAGGTATGGTCCCATTTTAAGAATAAAAGTAAAAATCATCCGAAAAGCACTTTTATTCTCTACTCAGTTTCACATCCCCATAATACTTTGCCTCTTTGGGGGGTAACCAGAGGGTAAAAACCCACTTATTTGGCTGAAGGTTGATCAGACAATGTTGACAATACCTTGTTTGGTATCCAAAAATAAAATGAAAAAGTTAAAAACAGAAAAAGATAGAAGCTTGAAGACGTTTAAGGTAAATTTTAAACATTTTTTCGTAAGTCAATACGTTTTCTGTAAGACCAAAACTCTTCATGATCTGTACACGCAAAAATAACTTGGAATAAACTGATAATCAGTATTGTACAGATAAAAGCAGGTATATTATAAATTCAATTAAGAAAGCTTTCAATTTGGGACAGTTTTTTGATTGGTTACCCCCCTAAAACGCAAGGCATTATGGGGATGTGAAAGTCGAGAATAAGCTTTTTAATTCATCATTTTCGAAAGATGAAAAATAATCCCAAGTGCGCATGCGCATCTTTTCTTGACCTTACTTTCCGGCGGATCTCAAGTAAATTCACATATTAATTCCGTATCTTTGTTTCTATGCAATTTTTAGAACTAATTTCTTTCCAGATTCTGCAGTCATTGTAACGTGGACTAACAATGTTTTAGAAACTATTAATTTGTGTTGATAAAACTACGTAAGGATATCTCTTGTTGTATGAATAGAAAGCACTTTTCTGCATAGTCTAACCTGGAATTTTCTTTGGTAATCCGCGTGCAATTAAGTCTCATTTTTACCATCTTGTAACAGAATGTGCAACTGCTCTTGGAATGCAGTCTCGTACAATACCAGACTCGGCCATCACAGCATCATCTTATCTATCAAACGGACATGCGCCTTACAGAGCACGTCTTCACAATGATCCCCCAATGCCATACTCTTCTTCTAATGATTCTGCAATTTGGATCCCTTCTACCAGTCAAGTTGGTGAATATCTACAAATAGATCTTGGTAGAATGGTCTACGTGACTAAGATAGCCACTCAAGGACGGCCATACTACGGTACCCAATACGTTACCAAGTACCAACTGAAATACAAACAAACTACTAGTAGTCCCTGGATGGATTATCTGGAGGGGAAAAATGTTAAGGTATCATTTTCTAGTTTAAAAAAGTAAACTTATAGGAAGATGTATGCTCCTAGATGCTCCTAATAATGGATTCAGCCTGATCTGGGTAATATGCCGGCTCACAGACCCAGTATGGAAGATGAACGCTTCTAGATTATGTTCCTATTGTTCTGCCATTTTTCACTTATTTCTCCTTATTTCTCTTTTCACTGTTCTATTGAAGGAATTTGCTGGTAACTCAGACAGAGATACGGTGGTAACTCACGCACTAAAGGAAAAGATATGGGCGCAGTTCATTAGGTTCGCTCCTCTTGCCTGGAAAGATCACATCACCTTGAGGGTGGAAATCTATGGATGTTAAAAATAAGATACAGAAGGACGAAATATGAACTACGTCTGCTGTCTGTATCTATATCTTTGTTTGTTTGTCTGTCCGTCTGTCCGTCTGTCCGTCTGTCCGTCTGTCCGTCTGTCCGTCTGTCCGTCTGTCCGTCTGTCCGTCTGTCCGTCTGTCCGTCTGTCTGTATTTCTGTCTGTATTTCTGTCTGTCCGTCCGCCAGTCTGTCGTTTCATTCATCTATGAATTCATTTTACTTACCATCTCAATCGATTATTCAACTGTTATCCGCATGTATTTGTTTCTGTCGTACTTGCTACCATACCATACAATACGTGAAGATATTACTAGCACCAGCTGTACTAACACATTATCAAATCTGTCAATCAGAACACCTTCCTGCATATGTTTGATAAATYGAGTGAATAAGTAATTGTGTTGCTAAACCAAAATTATTTGCACTTCGTAATAGGAAAATTTTATCGATTAAGTGACTTGCGCAGTTTGAAGCACCATAGATTCACGCATGCGCAGTGCATTCATTGAATTAAGGGAGTAAATTATCGAAAGACGACCAAGTATAGTTTAAGTTTTCCCATCCCTAAAATATTGCATGCATTTGCTATCGATAACACGATATTGAAATAAAGAAAGAGCACAAGAATCAAGAGTGTTCCTCGTTGTATTAGATTGTCCTGAGGGAGGGGTGGCTGGGTCATTATGGACACTAAAGCTGTACAAACAGAGATTTTATCATCTTTCTGAAACAAAGCCGGCAAATCATTGAACCCATTTTTACAACATGATTTAAATTACAACTGTTGTTTTACCTCATTTTCATTTCGGAAAGGCAACTAAAAGGTTAAGCTCGTTCTCGCCCTCGCTTCAAGGTATGTACGTATAACCTAATGTAGTTGTAATGTACTCCTTTTAAAATGCAATTTAAGGCAACATCGGGACGATATGATGATATAACTCACTCTCTCATTCTACTCACTATCGATTCCCTTGAATATGCCGTCCGCTACACGAACTGTCTCACTTGAACAACACACATGCTGCAGTTTAAGAAAAACTTCAGTCTCCGAAGAGAAATATTTATCGAATGCTTGCTATCCCAAATCCATACTAATTTCAGTTATACATGATTTATGGCTAACGACCGAAAGGTATCTTAATCATGCTATCGTTTTCAAAAATAACTAAGGTTTTCCAGGCAAAAGAAAGAGCACCCTAGCCTTATGGGAAAGGTAACCTGCGGCAAGTGTAATTAGTGTTTCAAAAGTCTTGCAGGAACTTGTTTTTACTTGTCAGTCGATAAATATACGACTTTCATAACTGGCTGCTGCTAATTTGCATAAACATTAAAAATCAATGTTTTTGGAGTGAAAGCCCTTTTAAATCATTGATCTTGTTGATTTAGATAAGGCGTGTGAGTTTCTACTTAAATTAATAAATCCTTTACAAGATGTGAGCATTTGAAGTTTTAAAAATGCACCAAAACGAGGCCACCAAGGCTTCCAGTGATACATACATACAAATCTCTYTATTTTCGTTCTTTCATAACTTCTTTGGTATGCAGTCAAAGTTCTGCAAAATTTTCTGGAAATAAATGTTAATCGAAGTATTATGATCATCCGGGTGGATGTAGTCCTGAGAAGGACTGTTTGATGTGACTGACGTTTCGACAACCTGAGCAGAAGTCATCTTCAGAGTCAAGTGAAGAATAAAAGTCAAATTTCTGGAAATAGTTTTCGTGAAGTATTTTCTCAGATAGCATTAATAGTTTCTGGTAAAAAGGCTTCATTTTCTCTAACTGAAAAAACGGAGTTATGAAAGTCGTGTATAGTACTCRGTAAATAGAATGAGGATCCAAAAAAAAACAAAAAAGATGGAAAAAAGAACAGACCTTAGCTAACAAATCCTGCTCTCCCCTCTACCCCACGCGGATTCACTTCCTTCCACTTCATATCTCATCCTATGTAGTAAATACACTGTGCAACACACTGTCTTATTACTCTTATTAGTTTGGCCTGCCCGCCACACGCATTAAACGCTCTAAAATAACCAGGTCTTGATCCACGACAGCCGCTTCCTTGAAGTCATAGAAACGATTCCTTTTGTTATTCCTTTTTCATTTGTAGTTTTAAGCAGCTGCATGGTATCTTTGATTGACAGCTGACGTACGAAAATGGAAACCAGTCTACGAAGACGAACGGCCGATAAACGGTAAGAAGGCCTGATGCGGATCTTCTAAAAATCTATATGCCTGATATCTTTTGTCTTTATCTTGTTTTAGTTCCACTGAAGTGACGTCACTACGATGCACTAAAGACAACACCCTACCCACACCTCCCCTGTCTGGTGCTTTATTGTCATCCCTTGAAACACATCTCATGCAGCCATTCAATTCCTTGAACCTTGCAATCTTTCGTATCATCTTCGGCTTCATCATGTCTTTTCTTCAATATCGAATAGTCTTCTTACAAGACGTCTTGGAGCCAAACTTCAGCTATGCAGAGATCAACTTTCATTATTGTTTTGCGCGAGGAATTCCACACGTTGGATTAGATAAACTAGTTTTCGTGATAATCATCTCCGGTATCGCCGCTTTCTGTATCGGGATTGGCTTATTCTACCGATTATCTTGTGGCATATTTCTCGTCACTTATACCTATCTCAGCTTACTAGAAAAGACTCGCTATAATAACCACTTCTATCTGTATATCTTATTAACTTCCATACTTCTAGTAACAGACTGCCACAAACGTCTCTCAGTAGATTCATGTATCTATCGCTGCACGTCACGTAATTCACATGATTCTCAAATTCCTTTCTGGCAGGTTTTTCTCTTCCGTTTTCAACTATTTGTGGTGTATTTCTATGCCGGACTCGCTAAGCTGAACTACGATTGGTTCTTTCGATTTGAGCCAATGACCATTTGGAGTGGTTTCCCTAGGTTTTCAATGTTTAGAAAGATTGCATCATTACTGCTGCCAAACGATTCTGTCCAAAAGTTTCTTGGCACGTTTTTCAGTATAGGAGGATTATCCTTTGATTTGTTCATTGGATTTTTTCTGTTGATTCCCAAATTACGGCCAGTGGGAATCTTATTCACTTTTTTCTTTCATTTGTCCAACCATTTTCTTTTCAAGATAGGGACATTTCCTTGGGTCATGATTGGCACCAATTTTATCTTTCTTGATGCAGAAACCCTTCCTAATCTTATTAAAATCATTCAAATGAGGCTGTGTTACAAGCAAAAGAGTAATAAAATCAAGAATCCCGAGCAACCAGAAACTACTCCTACCAAGAGGTCACTGCGCATGTCCAAGCCATTAAAGTGCTTTTTACTAATGTACGTTGTCATTCAAGTCCTTGTGCCGTTCCGCCATTGGCTGTATCCAGGCAACGTGAACTGGACACTGGAGGGACATCAGTTCAGTTGGAGGATGATGTTGAACGAGGAGAATGTGATCATGAGAATAAACATCATCGGAGAGGGAAAGCAAGATGTTTTTGAGTAAGTTTACCGCATCTTTTTTTCTTATTATAGAACTATTTTCATTTCAAAAAAACCTTCAAATCTGATCGATACCCTGAACGACCTCAGGTTAAAGTACCCGGAGAAATACCCTCGAATCTGTCAAGCGAGAGACTTATTCAACAATTCCTACTCACATATGATTAAAACTCCAGTAATCGAACGCGAAACCTGGCCCCAGAGGTGAGAAAGAAGTGCATTTCCTCTAGCTATGTTATACGATAAAATGAATGATCAACTATTCTTATTCTTTGCAGTCCCTACCAAATGCGCATCACAGTTCGTCAGATTAAGAGAATGTTGACTGATCCTGAACTCGTGGTACAATTAGTACGTCATATCAAGCAAAACTACGTCAAACCACGTGATCATAATGACGTAGCCATCAAAGTAGACATGTGGAAAATGCTTAACGGCAGGTGAGTTGCAATTGGCAGTTGTTACGTGTCACGCGTTATGTGACGCTTTCGCGTGTCAAGCCTGTAACGTAACGATTTCAATCCGACGACCAATAGGCTCAAATGACGGGCAAACATCATCCATTCCTCATAATCATTATTCATGCATCTCACACTTTACTTTGTACTGATATTTCAGACCATATCAGCGGTATATCGACAGCGATGTTGATTTGACAGCTGTCAATCAAGATTCCTTTAGCTATCATTGGCTGGTACCTCAAATGTCAGATGACTCTCTTAATTTTACTGCGATTGAGAAGATCCGAAAGCGATGGTCAGGCAGAGGCTATGACGTGTCATTCTTCATGGAATCTCCTCAGCGAGTCTACCAGACATTTTTGAATCCTGATTATTGTTTTGATGTGCGTTTATTTTCACTTAACACACAAATTGAAGTCACTATTAGGACAAGAAAGCTGTTACTGAAACCGGGGAAAAGCGTGATTATACCAAGTAACGCAATCCACCGTATCGCTACAATTGGTCACGCACCTTCGATTTGGTATTATGTTTTTGATTGTCATGTTTCGTTTTTCCATCAAGCTCAATTGTATATTAGTGAGGAAGGATGGAAATATCCGTATTGATACGGGTAAAGCGTGAAATGAGTAACACAATTCACATCATACAGCATAAGACGTTAATTTAGATGCGCAAATATAGGAAAAGAGGATAAAAAGAAATAATAACAAGTGATCGTAGATTGTAACTAAGGGCAGTACTTTAAATAAACTTCTTGTTTTGATGATATTGTCCGCGTCTTAATTGCTTGGTTTTCTTTCGTTTGTTTGTTTTGATTTTTATTGAGAATTATTTGTTTGTTCGTTTGTTGCTTTATTTGTTGGTTGGTTCATTTGTTTGTTCCTTTAATTTTTCGTTTGATTGGTTATTTGCCGTTGTTTTTTTTTAGGTTGTTGTGGATTGATTCATTTGTTTGTTTGTTTGAACGTTGTTTGTTTGTTTGTACGTTGTTTGTTTGTTTATACGTCGTTTGTTTGTTTATACGTCGTTTGTTTGTTTGTTTGTTTGTTTGTTTGTTTGTTAGCTGGTTGTTTTTAGCACGGATCAGGTTCATCAATCAACCTCTGACTCTGGTCATTTGCATAGATCAGGTTTATAATTACAATGTGTTAAGATTTTCGTTTTGGTTATCATATCGTGCAACAGTTATTAAGTCGTAGTGTTATTTTAGTATTTTTATTCGTTTTATTATTATATAGTTGCAGTCTTTCGTTTCAGTACTACGGTTGTTAATAGTGGTTGTAGGAAAAGAGATTAAAAAGATAAAAATTAAATAAAAAAAGAAAAGAAAAAGAAAGACAAAAATACAGACACCCAACACGCTTTCCTTCCCATGAGAATAAAAGGACAATAGACATGTTCGCCATGTTGGTTGACATAACAAAAGACGTCAAGACCAAATATTTGTCACAGTCAACCAAAATGGCGGCTATGACGTCACATGCACCCCAATAAAGAGTTATTTAAAGTCTCAGTTTGCGATCGCGCCTGCAGGTGATCATCAGTCATAACAGTACGTAAACATGTCAAGAGTTTCCGGTCGTCAGTTGGAGGCAGTCAGTTTTCTGGTTGCTGAACGAATGTCGATTACTTCGCTATTTCACTTTGGCGCACCCCTGATGACATATGGGTCTTTGTATCGTTTATCGTGTCATACTGCAGCACTGCGCATGCCCAAAAACATGTAACACAATATACCTCACCACATGCAGTTGTAACCCTGTCCTTGTGATCCTTGTGCCACTCCACCAGGTAATGACGCAGCATTAATTCGCTTGAAGAATAGAACGTAGCTCCAGATTCATCAGTTGATACGGTTAGTATGGCTGCTATTCCATGTGGGACCCTACAGATAGTCATCGCTGGAATATCCAAACATATTAAAGTCATGTCGATAAAGAGTCTTCAATCCTTCTATTTGTTTCTTAGAAAGTTGTTTAAAATACTTTTTCGCAAGATCAGAAGAAGCCTGTTTATATTTAGAGGTAATGTTCCCCGGGAAGCGTGTGAGGTCATCCACTTGTAGTGTCTGTAGAAGATCATTTGCCTCTGGTATCAGATTCTCAAAATGTCCAACGTAATCATAATAAACTAGACAAGGGTGGCAAAGTAGATCAAACTGCTTCCAGTGACGATCCATGTACTCTGGATCTGAGATTAATAGATAATCCACAAACTCTGAAAAACTCACTCCTTCGCCGGTTTTTAACGACTTGGCGTCGGGATTATGGCGGAAATGTTTGATTATTTGTCTACCGTAGAGCTTTTTAAAAAGAGTTAAATTGTAAGATTCGATAAATTTGTTTCTATAGGCTGATACCAAACGTTCAAAGGGATGACGTACAAACAAGAACTTATAGTATGTACTGAGTCGATAAACTATTTCTTCTGGCTCGTATTCATTTAAATACCGGAAGTAACCAAGACTTCTGTTGTGTACGTCTGCAGTATTAATCTGATACGGGTCAGCGGCATCACCATTCAAAACCATGAGCACGCGCTTCCAGTTTGAACAACCTACTTTTGGAATGTAACAGTAAAGAAGGCTGTGTTTGTCGTTTACGATGATATTCCGAAAAGTGTACGATGAAATCTCAAATTTAGTTGTCCCACGTGGTAGAATACTTTGGGGATCTCTGTCACGACAATACTCCATCAGACTTTTCTTGCGCTTTGCCTGAACAGGATTATCGTCCTTGGAAAAATAAAACAGAATAAGAAAGACAATAATTCGTATGGAAGGTGAAAATAATGGCATCCATGACTAAGAAATAAAGAGAAGAATAGAGGAGAATTCGGAAATTAATATAATATCAATAATAATAAAAAGTAAAATCAATCTCTCTTTCAAGTTGTTTTTTATTTTGCCGTAAGCTTATATTGAGTAAAATAAGAAAATCAGTTGTTTATCATGTTTTCTCACCTTGGTAAATTCCCTGCCAAGACTATTCACGCTTTGGAAGTCCTTGTCCATGGCACCTGCAAGAAGCAATGACAGTAATCAATGAACCGTGAGACATTATGAGAAACGATGTGTACCGTTACCACACTATTTTTCATGGTCTTCTCCCTCGGCAAATAATTCTATAAAGTCAAAGTATTGCGCATTTGCCTTGTCTATAACGATAAAGTGGAAATTCGATCTAAACAACGAGGAAAAATGATTAAAATAAAGAAATTATTAGTATAAGATCAAGTTGTTTTGACAATTGAAGTCACGGTGCACCAGCTAAAGTGGTCAGCATCAGTTTTGGGATTCAAAATTTATATGTTTGAAACAAAAACAATTGGAAATAAATTCATTTGTTGTGACTACTTCTGGCGTTTAAAATACGTAATGATTTATAGTACAAATACAGACACATGGAACTTGCTGAAGTTGAATCATATTCGTAATTTTCCAGTATAAATCCTTAGTAGATTTTGAGGCAAAAGTTAAAAAATGATTTCAAGAAAAAACAGATATTGAAAGTAAAAATGAATGGACTGGAATCATCACCTGTATCCAAAAAGTCCTCTTGGTAACCGCCATTCAGTGATTCCCAGAGCAGTAAACCGAATAAACTGAGCAGCGAAATCGCGCGGAACAAGAAAAGTTTGACCATAGTCAAAACACTCAACGGGTCACAAGACACCAACAATAATATCTGTAAAGCGGGAAATATACCGCCTCTGAGCATTAGATTTGCATGCAGTCCACACTAGGGCTTTCGTCAAATCAAGTTATTTTTCGTGTATTAGCACAAGGATAGTTTTATGAATTAACTAATGTGTACTGCATGACTTCATCGTATGAATATTTAACCCAGGAATCTCCAGCCAAGCAAAGAATGGTTTTACAAGTAAATCCTTGAAGATTCACTGATTTGTTAATCATTAGTGTCAAATTTGTTTTATGCATCATTGGCCTATAACCTCAATTTGAACCAATCATTGGATAGCATGCCATCACGTGATCRCGCACCTGCTGTCATGCGCAGTAGATTCGTATCATGTTGAGTTTGTTGATGTTTTGACTTGACATTTCCAAACATATTCACTTACTAATGGAGTAGAAGAGTGTCACTTGATACAAAAACTCTTTGATGTCAAAACATTTAGAACAGCCTCGCCTTTCTTGGAATTAAAAATTGAAAAGAAAAAAAAAGAAAGAAAGAAAGAAAAGATATGACTAGAGAGGAGTAGAAATGTCGATAAAAATACAAGGAAATAACATTAAAACCATAAACTATTCAGGGCCTGCTAATTACAGTGAAAATGAAAAGCCATATCGATTTAAGATATGTTGAAAGATAAGTTGGAAGACAGTCCTCTAACAATCAATCACTCATCATTTGGAGCGGGTCGCAATTCCAGTGAGCTGCATGGCTGGCTGGCCTGATTAATTYGTTGCAGCTAATGCTTCAGACTGCATTCAGTCAAGAGCAATCATTATATATATTCATGCATGTTTGCCTTTTGTTTTGATGTTTCATGACAGTACACTCGAATAGCACGTACTAAGTACCAGCTTGGCTAAAGTTCAATTGATATCAAATAACACAGCTTTTCCTATGCCTCTGTTCGACGCTCTGCTCAGTAATGCAGCACGCATGCGCAGGAAGTGCCATGAAGCACGGAACAGTCTAAAGGGAAGTACGAGCCGTAGACCAAAAATAAGATCAGAAACAGCTAGGTATCAATTTGCATATTACCTGCAGCCATCTAAAGAACTTTCTGGAGGAAAATGGTAGTAACATTACAGAAGAGAATACTGAAGATAAAACAAGACCTCTCGATATCCCCTTTTGTCCTTTTACTGTTCGAAATTTGAATCTCCGTCGTTCCTTTTTAATAAAGCTAAATCTGTCATTGACGCAATAGCATGATAACAGATTGGATACTATATTTAGCATACTACAATAATGAATCAAAAGCTTATCAGTACCTAAAGATACGCAGTGATAAACATTACCGCGAGTAAGGGCCATGACACTAGTGCCATGAGAAATTCGGCGGTTCTCTCGATTGCCTTTCCTCCAGATAAAGTTTCATGTATGTATTTAACTCGGTTATATAAAGTGTATTAAAGGCTGCTTGCATAGATTAGCTCCGAAAACACTCACAAATGACAAGCTATTTTTCTTTGTCAAACAGATTTATTCAAAAAAGTTCAATCTGTTTGGCATGTTTGAAGAAGAAATGAAAACATAGATAATGGTTGATTTGTTTTCATCCGCTACTTCAAGACAGTTCTACCCCATTTGACAAGGATATTTAGACTACCAGCTTTGTTGAAGTATATCTTTGTCACCTTCTAAGCGTTTTGTTTATATTTTAGGGTATAATTAGTACTTCTATTAATATCAATCGAGCTTTCTTGCACGCATTTATTAGAACCTTACCCCAGTGCACAACATTTTGATCTTAAAAAATAGTTCATAAAACATAAGAGATCGGGTTTAGAGATCAGACTTAAAGTGTGCTGGTGTAGATGGGGTGGACTTTTAGCTCCGTTCAACAAGGTTCTCAGGTAAAGATAGATAGATAGATAGTTTGATAGATACATAGTTGATTTAAGTTATTTACATCGCAGCTGAACAACTATATACAAAGATAAATGATCAACGTTCAAATCATCATATTATAAGCAAGGAAGAAGGACAATCGTTCAACGTTCAAATAATCATACTATAAGCAAGGAAGAAGGACAATCGTTCAACGTTCAAATCATCATATTATAAGCAAAGAAGAAGAACAAAGGTATGTTGGTAAAGGAATCTAGTCATGTCGTGACTACGAAATATTTCGTTTTTCAAGTGCAAATCTTTTTCTGTTGACTCTTTTAACAACAACATCCATGTTGACTTTTCCAGTTCATTAGCTAATTAACTAATAAAGTGTTTGTTTGCTAAACTACTTATCTAAATCTCTTTAWAAGAAATTTTCCAAATCGGTGAACATGGGATATGTTAACTGCGTGTGACCCCCACTAAGGTTTTGTTCAAACACCGCTGTCTTTTGTTAGATATAGTTCTTTTTTCTTTTCAGCTGCGACATACAGAAACTTCCAATAATTAGCGTCAAACAATAGACGTTATTTGTTGACATGGATGCCAATTAATACAAGCTTAATACAACATATGAGATCGACCTCCCCCGTAAATAAAACACTTGATTCCTTCGTTTACATTTCGAAGACTGATCCGTGGAATACAAGACATACAATTGAACCCGTTGTGATGGGCTGTGTCCTTTGAATACTGAAAATTATCTTCAAATAGATAAAACGTCATGTTTTCTTTTGTTGTGGTAGAAGCAAGGATTTAGTGTGTATTGGTGTAGAAAGCCTCGAACAACTGACTGTACGGGAGGTCTAGGCTAATCGTTTTAACAAACTGATACAATGAAATCAATGTTTATTGAAAAAGATCTGATTGTTTACATGCATATATATGCTGGCGTAGTTAGCTGATCATCCTATTTCAAGGCTGGCCTGGTAGATCATCTCTAGGTGTCCTGGTGTGAAGTACTCGGAGGGATACGCCACAAATTACTGCTCAATTCAGTTCGTCAAACTTAAGCAAAATGTTAAAGCTTATGATTATTACTCTCATTTTCCCCACCATCGTTGGTTCAAGATTATTACTGAGACCATATGGACTAGAGTTCCCTTCTCCTTCAGGCAATAAGAATGGTATGTTGACTAACATTTTTCTTTTTTACACAGCATTGGAGCCTTTTGAGAGTTGAGGCAAAAAAGTTTCAACGGAAAAGTAAAAAATTCATCGTGATTATACTGAGAGAACGAGCTATTTTCCTTCCAAAACCATTTGTAATCAGAAACAAGAGTGTTCAGCTCGTAAAGAACGGGTCTGCATCAAGAAAGCAGCTGGACTATCTATATTCTAAACAGCAAGTTACTTTTTCTGTGCAAGATAACAAAACTTCCCATTTTCAATAATGACCATATATACTTTACGCGTTTTTACAAAGTACTTAAACAATCATTGAATGAAAATGTCCTGGGCAAGCTGAATTGGTGTATATATATATATATATAAGCTGTAACTACAAGGTTTTTTCATTCCTTTCTGTCAGGGTGCAGCTTTGGAATCCGTAACTACAAGATAGGTACAACTTGGAATCCTGAGGTGTCGCCATTTGGAGTACTTAACTGTGTACTCTGTTCCTGCATTAAGGTATTTATTTCTTCTCCGAAATATGCGTAATACTTATGCTATGCGCTTTATCGACAAGTGTCTAAGAGGTTTATCGCCATCCTGATCTGTCTTTAAACCTGACCTGTTTTTGTTACTGTAAAGTTAGAGCTTTATAGCGAAGTGCTTGCCATCGTTCGTTCGCATCGATAAAACACAAGATAAAGGAAGAATGTGTAAACATGTTCGAACCGTTTTTTTAAAAGTTCTAGTGTCTGTGCGTTTGACTTGACTTGCAAAAGAGCAGGATTTTAGTTATTAGTTCAGGGAACTAAGAAGGGGGACGGACACAGATTTATCGATCAGTTTCGTTCATATACACTCAGCATTATTTGTAGATGCAATCAAGTGTGAATAAATTATATGTTTGTTTGTTTGTTCGTTATAATAAACCGCAAGCCCCGAATGGATCTGCGTTAATTCGATTCTCTTACAAGGACCAATCGCTAGCTAGCTGTTGGTAGAGCTAATGAACTAAGATTAAAGACATCGCCACATTATGATGCCAATGATAGGCTAGCGAACAGCACTGCCTCTACAAAGTCTAACAACCGGGGTCTCTCTTGCTGATGGTTGAAGGTATATAAAGACACAGTTGCATCTTCAAGTTTGCAGATTGGAAATGGCTTTTGCTATTTTCTCCGATTCAGTAAGACAGCGTTGTTGGAAAAGACAACCATATATGGAATGAACCAAGGAAATAGCCTTTGGACCTTGTTTCATGATCGAATTGGAATTTTGAAGTTGATTTTTGTCGGGAGGGACGAGAAAAACTACTAATTACTAGCAGAACCACTCAGAAGGGAACCAAAAAACAACTCTACTCAGATGTCATAGCGGGTCCAGGGATCGAACCCATGACTGACCAACAACTGTGAGATGCAGAACATTCGCAGCACACAACACCTTTGCTTCGATCCGCGATGTTTTGGACCATGAAGTCTTTCCTCAGTAAATAGTACATGTGCAAGAAGCCCAGAATTAGGCGGACGGGTAACAGTCGGTCTCTTTTCCAGGGACGGTGTTTAACATACATTTATCATTTATTTTCTAATGAAATTTCTAACGATTAGAATAAACGCCAGATTAGAAGAGTTTTCAAAATTCAATGCGGCTCTTGGRCCGGTTTATGTCGAATTTCAAGAGAAATCAGATAAAAGCAAGGTTTTTTTGCTCTCTACATCCATATTACAAAGATGTTCAGCTTGGATGAATCTTGCGAGAGAGGGGTGGTTTCCAAATAAGGATATGCTTGTGCATTGAATATCCAATGTGCACGAACAGGAATCTCCACTGGGTTTCCCATCATGCTTTATGCTCGTTCACATGTGCTATTATCAGTTATCACACCTTATCAAGCTAGTATCAAGTTTTTTGTCGCAAATGTCCAATATGACAAATTGACGGAGTTTCCAATACTTGCTGACCTTTAGACATCACGTGCAGATTAAACAACCCTCCAATCAAACTACTAACAAAGATAGATTGCATTGAAGTGTTAGAGATCATCACCTCAGTTCTCTTGTTCATACTTGTTTTTTCTTATTGCTTTCAAAGCATGCGAAAAAGCCTGGCAACTATGGTAAAGTCAGCTGCCGTAGCACGAGGAACCGCTGCCCAAAAACATCGTGTACTAACCCTGAATTTCAAAGAAACCAGTGCTGCCCTACCTGTCCTCCAGGTATGTGACTTGATTTATTGACTACTTGTCCAATGGACATGGCAGCCATGTTGGATAACATTAGCAGTTTGTAGGCATTCCTAAAGGAACGACGAAAAGAATCAAACTTACATGGCGGCCATGTTGGATGACACATATAAGGCCCAATTTACATGAAGGTAGTCAGTAGAATTGGGGCGTGTCAAAGAAATCATCATCATATTGTCATTATTGTCAGCCTCAATAGTAAACTAATAAAACATTCTTTATTATTATTATTATTATTATTATTATTATTATTATCATCACAAACAAGCAACAACACGAATGATTTTTATTGTCGTTTAGAATTCGTGGCTCTTCTTGCTCCTTCCCAGTCTTCCTCAAGTAAATCATTTTCCCGCGAAATTGGTTTGGCGCGGGTGCACTTGACTTTGATCAAGAGGTCTTTACACATATCAATATATTACCAAGGGTAAGTATACCGGCCTCTTTATTTGTCGCCCGCGCAGGGGCTGGGTGTTTTTGGGTCAGTAGACATGCATATAGATATAAAGGATAACAATATAGAAATAAAATATGAATCATTAGTGGAGTAAGAACTCTTGTCAGTAAGCTGTTCCCATTTTAAACTAGGAAACAAAAGCTATATGTACATTTCGGATTCAGATTGCTTAACCTTTAATGCTGATTAATGCTGTGAAGTCAGCTCAGAAAGGTCTGGAAGCAAAATTATGGCACAAAAAAAAAAAAAAAAACAACATTTTCTCAGAGCAATTCTCAATCTTTCTAAAATGTAGTTACCTTGGTTACTCAGTTGGTAGAAGCACCTGTCATGAAATCGGGGTGTTGTTGTGGGCTCGAGTCCGGCTCGCGGCATTTGATTTATGRTATTTATTATTGTTTATTAGCTATCTATTTATATGATTTTCATAGTCTAGCACCATGAGGCAGATAGGGTAGCTACAAACCAAACAATTCAAATATCCCTAATATGTAACACTGAAATCCTTAGCAACAATCTACTCCTTGTCGTCCATAGCAACCAAAGGCCCAAGACATTGTTGTTCTATAAACAAGCGGACAAGAAACTTGGAGAACTGAATATACAGAGAAAATTTATCAATGGGACAAAAGTAAATGCAATTTAATTTGAATAACTGACTGATTGACAGAGTGACTGACTGACAGAGTGACTGACTGACAGAGTGACTGACTGACTGACAGAGTGACTGACTGACAGAGTGA